AACTATTTTTTTTAATCAGAAAAACGTGAAGCAAAGTGACAAAGAACAACAAAGACTGTGGCCATCTCCTCACCCCCCAGCACAACTGCAATCGTGCCTGTCATCCCTGCGTGCGGGGGTGGGAGGGGAGAGACGGGCGCGATCATACTGGGCAGGGAGATGGCCAAGATCGTGTTTGTGCTCCTGCAGGAAAGATGGGCACAATCACGGGCGTGCTCATGCAGGAAAGACAGGTGTGATCTTGGCCATCTCCCCCTCCGCCCTCAGCACAATCGCATGGTCACCACCCAGTAAGGAATTCACGACCCGAGTCAAAATTTTTGAAATTTTTGTTCGCGACCCAATTTGGTCGTGAACTGAGGCATTTGTGAGCCGAGGTACCACTGTATTCGTTAGATTTCTATCCTGCCTTTTTCTGTTAAAGAACTAAAATGGATCCTCTTGCTGCTCTCGAGCTTATCCCCAAAAAAACCCTGTGAGGTAGCTTGAGCTGAGAAACTGTGACTGACCCAAAGAAATCCAGTTGGCTCCATTGAATGCGAACTAGAACCCAGGTTGACTGAGTACCAGTCCCATGCTGCCAACCACTAAACCACACTGTTTCTCAATAAATAAATTAAACTAAATAAAAATATAATAGATGCACTAGGAAGAGGGAAATCACTGCCAAGAAGCAGTGAGGGTGGCTTTTTAAAAATCAAAAAAGATAAAATCCTCAGCCAACTTAAAAAATAAGGTAAGCTCCTCACCTCCCACTCTCCAGTCTGAAGATAGTATTATCAGCAGTAGTATTTTTCCTTTCTTCACTGCTCAAAATAGGCACAGCTATTGGATGGCTCACAATAATTCATAAATGTAGGTACAATAAAAAAATGGATGACAACAACAACAAAACAAATGCAATAAAATACAACACAGAATTCCAAAATACAAAACGTAGAACTGTTAAAACTGAAACAATTATTTTTGTTTGAACAATGTAAACTAAAACAACTAATAACTAGACTTCCTAAATAACTGACATGCCCATTGTTTGTCATTTAATGCTCAAGAGTAGAGGGCAACCTGAAACTGAACAGATGACAACTTTGGCACCAGGCAGGGTTCAGAGAGGAGATTACTCCCAAACTGGGGTGGTGGGGGGGTCATCACTGAAAAAACAAAATAACCCCCCTGCCCTCCCTTGGAGGTGGCTGCTAGAGGAAGCTCTCAGATGTCGATCACAGTGTCTGAGTAGATTGAGGTCAGAAGCAATTCCAGGTTAAAAGCAGCACTATGAACTGTGCTCAGAAACAAACAGGCAGGCAGTGTGGGCAGGGCAGAATTGGGGTTTTATGTTCAGAACATCTGATCCTAATTATTAATCTGGCTGCCACATTCTGCAGAAGCTACAGCTTCTGAACAGTCTTCAAGTGTAGCTCTACATACAGTGCATAGCAGTAATCTAATTTAGAGGTTATCAGATTGTAGATTACTGAGACCAGTCTATCCTTGTCCAGATAAGAGCACCCTTGAGCTATGGACATGCTTCTTCAAGAGAGTACACCCCCATCCAGAACAGACTGAACATCCTTCATCCATTCAGAAGACCCACCCACTAACAGCATATCTAAGAGCCATCCACTATAGTACATCTATGTCAAAGCAGGTACTTTGCAAGGCAAGAAAGGACACATGAAAAGAATTCAATCACAGCATGAATACAGACAAAACTGTGCTGCAAATGCCCCAGGATATGTGCTAGCAGCAGGCCAGAAAACAGAGTGGGAAACACATCATGGCAAGCCAACTATTGCCTGGTTGTCTGTCAGCAGCCAAGTGGATTAGTGAGTGATTAACCAACTTTCCAAAGTTTGTTTTCAGTGTGGGTTACTGCGACCTGCACACCTACCCAGTGTATTTATTAGTATTTCTTGGATTTGCTAATTTAAAAAAAAAACTCAACTGCCTTTGAATTACACTGAGTGCAAAATCAACTGCATTATCTTAACAAGCATCTCATTAACTTCTGCAGCCCAGGCTTGCCACCTCTGTATCTGAAATGCCTTGATATCCAAGTGCTCTTTGTAGAGTGTCTTCTGCAATTTATTTCTGCAGTTTATAGAGGTGCAGAATTTTCAGGTCTCCAAAAGCATTTTTGAGTTCAATTTTTATTATTTCTTTCACATTATTTCCTCAAACAATGACTGGCTAAAGTTACAATTCTAAAACCATTTATTTAAAAACTATTTATAGGCCTTCCCCCATGGTATAGTCCACTGGAGGCAGCATGCAACACTGAGATGGAATTCAGGGAGATCTATTTGAAATGTCAAATTGTAAAAATACAGTATTGAAAGGAAGAATAGGGCTGAAATCACGGGGAATTCTATTGCTTCCAGTGGGTTCACTTCCATTGATTTCTAGTCCAGATATGGCTAAATAAAAATTAAACCCTTAGTCTCAGGAATCAGCAGCATAAATCACTGAAGCACGTAAGATTCAGGTATACCTGAAGGCCTAAACCAGATTGGGCAATGCTGCTCCTTAGAGTAGCTGGGACATCCTCTCACTCTCCATTACAGCAGGAAAAAACAAACAACTAGGGAGATCCTAGGTTCTTTCACTGATCCTGTCTGATTAATGCCCACCCCCGCCATGTCATTTCTGTCCAGGTATATGTAGACGAAGGAGAAGTGATTACCTAGAAGTAAATTTGACTAGCATTGATCACACATGCTAAACCTCAACAACACACTTATGAAATGTGCTCCACTACCTCATTAAAAGCCTACTTTTTCATGTTAACAAATGTAGACAGGAAGCATAATACAGCAATCAAGATAACTGAATGTACAACTAAAGCTTTTCTAGTGTGCATGTTTTTAAAACTAACAATCCCATCTGCCCTCTGCCTTATTGCATTTCTATGCCAACCAATAACTAAAGTTTGCTGAGGAGATAACAAAGTAAAAAAATGCAGATTTTCTGTACATCACCACACATTCAGCAGTGTGCTATAGATCACAGTGAGCAGACAATAGGTTTCCAGAACTTCTTCTGCTTCAGCTCTTATTATTCTTAAATAATAACTGCCTAGCCTGAAGCACAAACTATTTGAGATCTTCTTTCTATCCACTCATAGTGTAGAAGACTACACCACAGAAAGTTGGGTTCAAATTCTCTTATGGAGCTCAAGCTAATTGGATTACTTTGGTGCTGAATCGGTCTCTTAGCAATCTCATTTCCTAAACCTTAGGAGGAGCAGGGAGAGAATAATAATCATGAATACTCCCCATGAGCTTACTGGAGAAAGGACAGGATACAAAAAACAAACATACTTCATAAAAACAAATTACAGGCAGTATCTAAGAAGCTCCACTTATCTTTCCCAATTTGCAGCTTCTCTTAGAATGGCTAGTTTTTTGATGTACATGTGACAAATCCCACTTGTGCAAGCAATTGTGAAGGAATGCAGCCACAGTAGATACCGCCCTAGTTGTTTTGCATGAAATTAGTATATAAGTGGTTCATTATCTACTGTCTTCAGGGTGTATTTAGATTGCATGTCACTTGCATGGTAATTTTATGTTTTATATTAAGACATGATGCAGTAAAAAATTCTAATATAGAAGTCTAAATACGATGACCAACAGCTGGTTGCTCACTTAGAATTCCATTTTACAAATGGAAAACTGGTATTTATAAAATGATGTATTCTAATGTCTCACATCCTCATAATTTTTATGAGAATAAGCAAGAATTATAGTGGCACATTGGCTTGGTATTTATTATATAGCTGCACTGGCTTACAGGGTACCTTTAGTGGGCTGACACATTATTTGCCATAATCTAAGCACTATGCTTTTGTTAACCAGGTCTCAAATTGCATTAGTTTTTCCAATAGTAGCATCACACAGTTGACTTAAGTTTTGCCTGTAAGGCTGGTACAGGGGGCAGCAGTATTTTCTTTAAATACATTTTTATAGCACTGTATTATGCTGGGGGTGTTTGGAGGATGTATGCAGAGAATGAGACAAGTTACACAATTAAATTAAAGCACTTTTACCATGAAAAGAACAATACCAATCAATAGCCAGTCTCTCAGTAAATACAAAAAATCCAGACTCTACAAAAATGAAGCAACCACACTTAGTGAATGGGGAATATTACAACCTAGCAACTGCTCTAAATAATAGTATTCAGCAATTAACAAAGTTATATTGATTAGCTTGTTTGACAAGGAACTTTCTTACAAACACGGATTTCTATTTTTGCAGACAAGATTCGCTGGTTTTGCCATTAAACCCTAGATTGTTCAGGTACCCACTGAAAAAATTACTGGAACAGCCAGTTTAACTTTATGTAACACAAACTCATGCTTGGATTGCAGGTAGGAAGGAAGTAAGAGGTCAGGGTAGACATATACCGGTCTTACACACATACATACACAGAGCAAATGCTGATTGAAGAGCAAGAAAAAAGTATTAAATGTAATGGGGAGAAAAGAAAAAGAGGACAGAGCAGAGTGGGGAATCAACAGACTGCGTCTTGAACACGTGCGTGCAGGGGTGAAAAGGCGTGGAAGGGCTACGCCGGAGGTTATTATGAAGGTAAAGGGAGCAAAAGCTTCATCCTTATAAAGGCAAAATCAAGAGAAGCCAAGGGCACGATCCTATCGGCGTTTATTCAGAAGCAAGTCTATATGAGGACAGCGGGATTTAATCCCATGTAAGTGTGCGCAGGACTTGCAGCAGCATCAGACGAGGGCTGGGGCAGCTGCAAAGTTTCTAAGGCAGCGTGTGTGAGGAGAAGGTGATGCAACACCGCCAGGTTATCCGAGGAGACTCGCAGAGAGGGAACCGAGAGGCGTCTAAAGCAAGCCTTCTCCGGGGAAAGGGGACTCGCACGGCTTTTCTCCCGAAAAAGGCAAACTGGGGCTCCGCGCTCCACACACATCCCGGTGGCCGCTCCTCCCAGGGCCGCCCTGCCCACTCGCTCCGCGGCGCGGCTCCTCTCACCATCAGCACTTTGGCTGCGTTCTCCAGCTGGGCGATCACCTCGGGGGCTCCCCCCGCCGCCACGGCCGCCGCCATCATGGTCTCTCTTCAATGACGCGCCATGCACTGCATTCTGGGACAAGGCGGCCGCCCAGCCAATCCCCGGCGCCGGCGGGCAGGGACGGCAGGAAGGAGGGAGCGGCGGGCCTGCAGGAGGAGTTCGTGCGGCAGCCGGCAGCCTGGCCGGCCGGACCCTGGCGGTGGCACTGCCCGCAGGCGCGGAGGGGGTCGCGGCAGCCGGAACTCTGAGCTCGGAAATGGCCTCAGGTCCCGCGACCTGACCTTTACTCTCCCTTGTAGTCATGGAGCCGAGGCGGCGGTAGCGAGGCGGCCACTGCGTGCCATGGGCAAGTTAGCCGAAGCCCCCAGTGGGCTTTGCTCTGAGGCTTCCAATTCCGCTTCCCTCAGCATGGTTCACTGGGAGCCAGTTGGCCGAAACCTTGCGGCGCCGGTGGAAGGGGGATAATGTTTATGGATAAAACCTTTGGGCATGTGCAGAGTGTTTTTCATGCTCATCGCGTGGAGAAACCATAAAGATACGCTTTTTCGCTCAAAGAGTGTGTTACTTGACGTCAACTTAAGTGTTTATAATCTTTTGTGTTTGACCTTTCTAAGTAGAAAGAGGCTAAGGAATAGGCTGTTACTACACGAGTGGATAAGCATACACAGGCCACTGGAAATAATCAAGTATTAATGGTTAGTGAGTCCTCCTGTTTTAGGACTAGATCCTATTTTAGGACTAGCAACTTGCAAATTTTTCCTTTATTTGCTGTTGGAATAGATGAAAATCTAAAGGGTGCATTTTTTTTTCAGAGGCACACAGTCCTTAACAGAGGAAAAATACGTTCTGATCCCCTCTTGGTGTGTTTATTTTTAAACCAAACAGGGACTGTGGCGCACATAGTTTGCCCTGGGTTCAATCCCTGGGCATCTCAAAATTGAGTGATTAGCAGACAATTAAGATGGAAGTATTACTGCGGGTAGGCAATATTGATCTAGATGGACACATGCTTTGATGTGATATAAGGCAGGTTCTTATGGCTATATTTGTTAAGAGCTGTTTCATTTCATATTGTAATCTTATTTAAATGTGCTGCACTTAGAGCAGTAAATAGGGAATCCAGCCATACATGCCCTTCATATAATAGGAGAAGGCACTGAAGTATACCCAAAAACCAAACATAAGAGTGCCTGAATATGCCAGTACTGCTTTCATCTCAAACAATAGAACCTTATGCATTAACCCTCAAGTATTAATCCTGGCTCACAAATACTCTATCACCTGCCTTACCAGATAGGGATGTCTTGCACATACCTGGAAGTAGAAAGAATAAGTATGTTTCTTGGACACCAGCAAAACACTGGGTGCAAAAGACACTGTGGTGGTACAACAAGATGTTGCATTCTTTTTCCAATTTACTATGCAAAAATTACTTCATGGATTTGTGCCTAGCCAGTGAGCCTTCTTAGAAGCAGTGCTGACCTTGTGGAAAAATCTTCCGTGCTGTTTGGAAGGCGGAACATTTAGTATCTTTCAAATACCTTCTGAAAGTACACCTGTTTATCAAGACTTTCCCTGACTTGCAATTAAATGAAGCATGCTCTTCCATTTTAGTTGGGATGGTGTATAACTTATGAGTAATATCCTGCAAGAGCAGGGAGTTGGACCCCGTGTCCTTTCAGCCCCTTCCAACTCCTCTATTCTATTGCTTGGTATAATTATTGTAATTGAATTGTTTTAAATTGTAATTCTGATATGTATATAAAAACTGGTAAGTGATGTTTGAAATACTTAACAGTATAGAAATAAGGAAAACACATACAGTACAGCACTGTCATGTATATGAGTTCACAGGATCAATGAAGGTGAAGATAATAAGTTCCATTTTGGTAATGTTTACTTAGCTTGTACATACAGTGATTACCGATGAGATTTCAGAATTCCAAATCTAATAGTACTAATATCTCTGTTGCAGAATTCCAAAGTATATAATTCCATATGGAAAGTGGACTGATAGAATTTGTTGTGTGATCTAATAAAATAACCATCTTACCTGCAATGTTATAAATGTTTTTGGCTTACTTATTTTTATTTATAAATTAATTTATTTAATATATTTTTCTAATTATAGAAATTATTCATATACAGTTAGCTAATTCATGTTAGGGTACTTAAGATTTAAATACCTTTTGTTAGAAGCTGCATGTACAAAGACCCATAGGATTCTTTAGGCCTACATCTTCAGATTATTATTAGAAACATGGATACAGGTGAGCATTTTTGCAGACCTTTTCATGCTAGTTTATTTGCTGGTGAGTCCCACAAAGTTCAGAAAGATTTATTCACAGGTAATTGTGCATAAAGATGGCAGTATTTGAGTACAGAATCATAATTGTATTCAAAATTGTTATTTTGAATTAATTACAGTCCAAAGGGCTTATCTTGTATATTTGGTCTAAGATGCAAACCAAAAGAGTGATTGAACTCAGATCTTTTAGTCATTCTGTCCCCACAACAGATGGACATTTTGAGACATTAGTTACAAGATGTATAATGTGGGGATTGAGAATTTTGTTTTTTCAATTGATGCTGTGCATGTCTTAAATTTCACATATGTTCACATCAGCAATGGAAGTCAGAATATGTTCTTAAACTTTCTGCTTTCATTTCATTTAGATTTTCAGTTTTATAGCACTTATACGCCTTTGAACTTTAAATATGTGTCAGCAACTTGAAATGTTAGCACCTTTTCTTCTAGCTTAGCCATATAGTACTTCATATATATTCCTGTAACTGATTATCATGCCTAGAATATGAAGAGCTACTATGAGTTGGAACAAATTTAGGATTAATTCTTCTGGGTTGTACCTATTTTATTAGACCCATTGAAATGACTTAAGTTAACCACTTGTCTCATTTATTTCAGTATGGCTACTATAAATAGGACTGCCATTGACTTTCTCCCTTAAAGTTAGCCATTATCAACCTATCCCACTGATTTCAGTGGGTCTGTTCTAAGTATGACTGAATGCAATTTTGCCTTCTGTACCAACAGCTGCATGAAAAAGTGACCACTGATTTGGCTGACTGTTAAGGACTAATGTAGAGAACTTTCTGGCCATTCTATTCCTTATGCCAAGCTACCTGTGTATATTCTATAGCCATCTTAAATGCCATGTTTCATGTTAGAAAGGTGAGATACAAATCAAATGAAAACAATAGTTTATTAAGTTGATTCCCTGTAATTACCAATCATTATCAAATACCAGTATCAGCAAGGTTGCTTTAGTCAAGTTATCTAATCCTTTTTGTCTTCTTTTGTTAGTGCATTATATTGTGCATTGCTGTAATAGGGAAGGGAGTGAAGAAACTGATTTGCTCTGCAAAGCTTTGATTTATAAGTAGAATAAGATATCTATTAATTGTGCAATGATTAATCAAACATATGGATATGTCAGATAATGTAGAATGTCACCCACACATACTGCATCCTTTATTCACAGATGAAAATGTCCTTCATACTTCACAGTTGGATGAATGCCAGACATAGAGTGGAGGCTCAATGGAAAAAAGGGGATATAACATGTATAAATGGAATCCTTGTCTTGTGCTAGCAGACAAATCCTTAGTTAATTAATGGCCCTGTCCTATGAATGTCTGGGGTGGGGGGGGGTGTTGAGCATCATGTAGTTCTAGCCAAGTCTTTGTTCAGGAAATACCCTTATTAAAATGGATGAATATGTTATTTTAATGACTGCAGGAAACAAGTACTATGCTTCCAATCTTTAAACAGGTGGCATATGGATGCCATCATCGAATGCTTATTTGGATATATGGTCTACTTTTTTGAAGTCTATGTATACCTGCTAGAAAGACTGTATGCATTTCATATGGATTCATTACTATGTATATATTCTACTTAGTCTGATTTTTTGAACTTATCTTTCCTTGAACAGTACATTTTGTGCATGGTTGCACATTTTTAAAAGCCCTAATAATGTCAGAGAATGGGTCTTCCATTTCTGGTAGATCTGATGACTGAGCTGTGATAAGGCCTGGGCACCATGTCTACTAAGACAGGTACATTCATACCTGGTCTACCCCTGCTGTTGTTTCTCAGTGTGTACACCTCGTGTTCAGGGTTGAAGGACATGGTTAACACTGGGAGCAGAGAGCAGATTGACCTACACAGCTTTCAGCTCTCTGCCTGGCCCTGCTGTTCATGCAACACACAATAGATTAAGGTACCTGCAAGTGAAGATTCTTTATTCCCACAATACAAGTGAAAACTCTAATTCCTGTGGTGCTGTCTGGCACACTGCCTCAGTTTCAAACCAATTTGGGGAGAATTTACCCTGGGACCTCCTTCAAGGCCTAAAATTATTGTCTTAAAGATAGATAGATACTACAATTATGCCTCCTAACACGCAATAATTGCTGTTGCAATCAATTTTAGAGTCCCATCTTGATTTCCCTAGAACACCAACAACATTGGACAGAACTGCAGAGTTTTTATATACTATTAGTACATAGAGCCTTCTACAAAGTAGGAATAATGGAGGAGTGGGTATTGTGCAAGACATGTGCCACCCTCACTTTCTCAGCCCTGTGTCCGGCAATACGGGAATACTAATGGTGAGCTTTACCCTCACTCCTTGTAAGGCATTTTTTAAATGTGTATAGACTTAGGAAAAAAAATTAGCAAGACCAGAGTCAGAAAAATCCTGACCTCCTGTCTTTACTGTTACTAGAGAGAGAGAGAGAGATCCTGCCTTTTTTCTCACAAAGAACTCTAAGTGGCTTACATCATTCTCTTTCTGTTCTCAGTCTTATCCCCACAACAACCACCTTGTGAGATGGGTTGGGCTGGGAGTCTTTGACTGTCCCACGGTCACCCATTTGGCTCCATGGCTGAGTGGGGACTAGAACCCAAATTGCCTGAGTCCCCTTCCTGTGCTGTTAACCACTATACCACACTGGCTCTCTTTTCATTGATGGTACCCAGCTGCAAGAAACACCTGGATTTCCAAATTGTTTT